GAGAGAGAGAGAGAGAGAGAGAGAGAGAGAGAGAGAGAGAGAGAAAGAGAGAGAGGTGCGCCGAGCCTTCGGCATTTTAGCGTTGCTCTTTTATAGTCTGCGCACGGTAAACGTTCGCCTTGCTGCCGGAGAGAGGGACCTTTTGAACCATCTCTGACGGGATGGACGAGAACGAGAATCTCGCAGAGGGATTGGCACGATCACGTCGCAGCGAGATGCAACTTTTCAGGATCAGTTTATACTAGACGATACTCCAGAATTTTCTTGTAAATACTTGAATATTTTTCCACCATTTTTCCAGTTAAGAGATAAATAAAATCATTTATAGTTTGTGCGGTATTAATTAATTATAATGAGGATTTTTTATTGAAATTATTATAAAAATTTACTATACTGTAATATTTTTGTTTGTAATCAGAGTTTGATAGAGAAATTTTTATCACATATAATATAGCCAAAAATGAATACATCAAATTTTTCTTATATATTTAATGTAAATAAAATTGTAATATAACGAGAAAATATCATATTTTACATTTTGACATCTAAATTTAGCACACTGAGGTGGAAAACATTTTCATTGTTTTCTTGTTATATGATGAACAATTGAAGGAGCTAAAAAATTGCTCAACTTGAAACCTTATATTTCTATCAATTATAAGTTTTTTTAGCACATAAATAAAAAATTATTTCATTAGTTCGCGAGTAATTCAAAATTAAAAATTAGATGAGATCGAAAATAACCTAATATGCCAGATTAGGGTAAATGAGACTGTTAAATATGCAATCAAAAGTGAATCACAAAACCAATAAGAACTGATGTTGGTTATTCAGTGTTAGACTTATATAAATAATAAACAATACGAATAGCCGAGTTTAGAAACAATAATATAATCTACCGTTTTAATCATGTTTTCAACTTTCTTATTACATAAATTATTATGTAATCTGTATTCTCTGATTAAGGTGATTATTGAAGAGAAATAAAAATGCGATTCATTATATTGTTTCTTGTAAATATACTGATTTAATGAAAAAATTAAACGATTTAAAATAAAAAAATATACCGATATTTTATCTTTAAACCATCGAAAGGAATAAATTTTTCAATTATTGGTAAGAAATGTAAATATACATTATTGCATTTTTGTTTTTATTTATAAAAAATAATGTTATAATAAGTTATAATAAATAATGAACAGAATTGAAATACAATATCCGTGAATTTTGCTATATATATCAATATGTTTATCCAAGTTAAACACTGAATAATAATGCTGTATTATTTTTAATAATCCTAATTATCAGCGGTAATGATCCATTAAATATGAAGTGGTATTTAAGACTCGGAACTTCAAAAGCAGTTTCCGAATGAGATAATCGTCTTATTTTCATGAAAGTGATCGCTTCATTGGATGAATAAGATAAAACGTTGCTTTCTCCCGCAAAGTTTTCTCCTGGAAGTGTAATAATTGAAGTACGTCGTAATAAAATTTCATTGTAACGTTCGCGAGATGGAAGGCGCGATTGGCTCTGACATCGATTAGCTCGTCTTACCAATCCGAGTTTTCCTGGCTGGATTTATCCGGAGATCGATTAGAGAGCCAACGTGAAAGGTCACAGCCTCTTCAAGATCGATCTGTCGAACGAAATGTCAGAAAAACCAGTGGCGCAATCTCTCTCTCTCTCTCTTCTTCCTTCTCTCTCACACACTCTTGTAGAATGTTAGTCTTTTCCTTTAGTTTTCTTTCCTTTCCTTCAGTTTTAATTTAAGTTTTTCTCGTTTATGAATGTACATCTCTTGATTTATAGATGCACTTTGTGCCTTATATAAGCTATATAAGATCTTCTGTATTACATTTTATATTTTATTAGCTTTTGATAACCTGTTGTGCATGTGATATAATTTTCAACTCTTTATTTCTTCTAAATATTATACTGTCTTATTTGCTTTTTTTTATTATATTATATTATATTATAGTTCCTCATTTTTTCTCTTTTCCCTTGTTTATCGTATCTGTTATCCGTACCCATATTAAATTTTACTGCTTTTCTTTATTGTGGCGGTATATCTACCAGCCATTGCAATTCTTATTTACTATTGCATACCCAAAGGGATTTGTATTCTAGAGATGAAATCTATCTCATTACCGATGTAATATGTATCGATGTACCGATCACTATGTATCTCAGTACCGATCGCAATTCTGATCGAAAGTGAATCGTTTTCGCGAGTCACGTACTCCTTTCAGGACCAAGTTCTCAATATTTCGAAACTGGTGACCCAAAATTATGAAGAAAACCAGCAATTTAATCTTCCTCTGTCTTTTTTTCTCTTTGTCTCAGAGCCAATTATGATCTTGGTCAAAGGCAGATCGCGAATTACATAGTCCCTTCATGACAAAGTTCTCGATACTTCGAACTAGTGGCCTAAAAATGTTAAAACCAGCGACTCAATCTCTTTCTGTTTCTCTTTCTCTCAGTGCCGATCGCGATCCTGATCGAAGGTGATTCGTGTGCGCGGGTTACGTAGTCCCTTCGGGACGACCCTTTGGAACTGGTGGCCGAAGGTCAGGTCGTACGGCTCTCCAGGTCCACCCGGCACCCCGAGAGAGCGGCAACGAAGAGAAAAAAGACTCGCCCCTCGGGTCGTAGTCATCGGTGGGGCTTTAACCGGCACGGACTATAGGCTCTCCTTACTCCGAGGCACGCTGGTTCTCTCTCTCTCCATACCTTCCACTCCCGCGGTGGAGGCCGCATACCTCCTTAGGATGCAGTGTAGACCTGTCCATTGGCTGGCAGACACCGGTTGGTTCTTTTCAGTCCGAAACGACGGACGCCGGTGAGACCGCGAGGATAGAGAGACACGGTCCTTTCCTCGGCTCTCTCTCTCTCTCTCCTCTTCGTCGTCCTTTTAGTTACCTTTTAGTTACCTGTCCGCATGTGCGTCATGCGGATCCGACGTGGTTTCGCGTTCGAGTGAATACGCGCATCGTGGTGGCGGGAATATAGCACGTGCGGTGTCGTGACACGATGAGGTGATAACGCGTTGTGCTTGCCAGCGCGGGATCTTGCAGTGACTTTGGAAGGTGAGTCCAGGTGTTGGAGATTGTGAGGCAAGATCCTGGTGTTCGCTGGTGGACGGTCATCGGCCGGATAGAAGATAATTACCGAAAACGTTGACCTGGATACTCGCCTGCCGCGTGGAGAGATCCGTTCGACGCGACGCGCAGGCTTTGTTGGACGGGGTCGATTGTGAGTCGGTTTGTTCCGGTTTGTCGTGAGCTCGGCGTGGCTGTTTTGGGGAAGGTTGATCGTCGATGATGAGGATCAATTTGTTCTGAATCGAGTTCAGTCTTAATTTGTTCACCTAATTTTTGAAAATCTTAATGGAGTCGCTGAAAAATATTTTTTGTCTTCATTGCTTCAAATTTTACTGCTTTAATACGATTGTCTCGATTTTTAAACGTTACCTGCCACCTTTATTTCGATTAGATTTGTTAATTAAACTCTGTACAATTATTAATAAGAATCAAAATTAAAAGTTTGATTATAACATTTAATTACATATAATTATTACAAATATACACATACATATACGTGTACATATGTATTATAATTATAATTATATTATTAATTTTTGCAGAGTATAATGTTAATCACACAGACTCTGCACAGTCATTTATAAATTGACTTCAAAATTAAAGTCGTATTTATAATATTTAATTACATATACAATTATAATATATATCATAATTATAATTATAAGTTATGATTTAACTATCGGGAAACTTGACGAGTGTTAAAATATTACTTCCAAGAGAAAACGTATATAGAGCGCACAAGGAGGAAAGAAGTAGAATCGTATTCAGGCACGCGAGCTAATCGAGGAATCGAGGTCGTCGATTGAGGATATCGTCTCGTCGACGATTTCCTGGCGCAACGGTATCATCGCGCTCCTCCTTTTGTGCGGTACCTGCGGAATGGTGACACTACAGTGACATTAGAGCCAGTCGGAGCTGTATATCCGGCCTTTGTGGTATCATAGGCATCGTTTGGAAGTCGCAAGTTAAATTAAGCTGCGATTGCGAACAACGGGAAGAATTGGAATCGCCTGGTCTGTGCGTTCCAGCATCTCGACGTGATTTCTCCGAACCAAATGCGTCACGATTAATCGACTGTCACGTGTCCTTGTGCCGTCACGTTGGCTGACATTCCCCTCGGATTTTTCAAGCCTGACGAACGCGCTCTCAAAAATTTCAACGAATTGTCGGAGCATCGATAAGCCCGGCGTAGTCATGCAAGTCCGAACCTCCCCGTTGTCTTTTTCGCCATTCCGCGAGAGGAAACCAGTTTCGACCGGTAGATTTGCGAGTCGGCGAAGTCCTGGTTACAAGGAACCGGTGTCAAGTTCGCCAAACAGGAAAAGCCGCGTGGGTGCATTTTTCTTGCGTCTGCGATCCACGCAATTATATATTTCCGTCAGTTATAGAGACGCAAACAATCCCCCAGATTGTCGAAATTGCTCCGGAAGGAGCGAGTGAACTGTCGGTTCTGTGAGCAAATTGCGAACTGTGTGGCAACGCGGAGGTAATGCCATTTCTTGATGTGGATTGATCCTTTCTCTCTCTCACACACACACACACACACACACACACACACACACACACACTCTCTGTAACAATAACAAAAAGCGAATCAAGATAACGCTTCCACGGCAATTTGCGATTTTGCTTGCGCGAGACGTTGCAGCCGCAAGTCACATCAAGGTCTATTCTTTTCAGCTAAACGGGTGTTGCAACTGGAACTTTGTTCCTTTTTGCCTTCAATGCTACATTATATACTTGTTTCATTATAAAGACCTGGTTGCCACCAACCGAGTGGTGAGCTAACTAACAGCTAAAACGCACGTCTGTTTTTGTTCATTTTGAAAACCGAGCTTACCACTTGGCTGGTAATACAACCGATTCTTACCGATAAAAGTACCTCGAAAAGTAATTTATAAGCCTTCTGGTTGGCGTATGAGCATATTTAGAAGCGCTTTTATTGATAAGAGAGAGTTTAAAATAAAGACCAAAAAATGCAACCTACACGAAAAAAAATATTTGGTTGAATTAACCAAATATCTGGTCGAATATGAACGATCCAGCAATTCCGATTGAAACCCAAATTCTGTTTAAGTTAACAAGATTTTTGGTAGACTAATCAAACATATCTGGTTATTTAACTAGACATGTTTGGTTAATCTACCAAAAATCTTGTTAACTTAAACAGAATTCGGGTTACTTCAATGGGAATTTCTGAATCGTTTATATTCGATCAGATATTTGATTAATTCAACCAAATCTTTTATTCCCGTGTAGTTTAGTCGAAAAAACGGATCTGTTAAAATCGCCTAGCCGGGAAGATCTGTGAAGATAATGGTACTCTTTTCTCAACCCCGTTTCTCTCTAACTGCCAATCCTCCGCAAAGGACCTCCTTTGATAAAAATTCGCGAAGATGAGGAAACACTCGACTTTCCAAAGATTTATTCATTTCGCAATTGGTGTCCTTTTCCGCGAAGCTAACTGATGAAAGTGAAGACCGACAAGAAGAAGATACGCACGCGGCAGGATATTCCTTTTCTCCGTCATTCATCCTGGCATCACTTGGTCACGCAGTGTCAAGATTCCAAGAGCGTAACGTAACGGCTGCCGGAGGAAGAGGGATGTAACGGTTTTTTTTCTTCCTCCCTCGCTTCTTCCCTCCCTCGGCCTCACACTCTTTCTATCCTTCTCAATCTTTCAACTTACCTGTCCCACTTGTACTCTCTCTTCTCCGTTCCCCTCTTTTCTTAGTTCTTAGAGTTGTTTCTAGAGTAGGTCCGACGAATTTGAATATTATCACCTACGTAGTCCCGATTGAATTCAGTTATTGGATTAACTTGATGTGGAAAGTGGAGTTCTCTAATTAATTAAATGAACGACTTGCAAACAGTCGTGTGATGCAGATTTCAAATTGAATTTAAAACATCTGACAATTGTGATGTAAAATTTCAATGTGATGAAAGATGTAATATTAATTATTACATTTATAGCAATCTGAATTTTAGTAACAGATGCTAACGAGTTTCGAATAATTGCTATGATTATTGTTAACTTTAGCACGTTGACTGTCATGGTAGTCACCAACAATTGTCACTGTAATAATATTGCCTCGTTTCACTAATTTATAAATAAAACGTAACCAACATATAAAAAATTAAATATATAGCCGATAGAAAATCAATAAAACGAGCATGAAATATATAAATATAGTAGATTGCATTTAGTTACTGCATTTTTGTTGACTCAAGTTCGAGTCAGTTAATAATCAATGAAAATCAGCCTGCCAGTCAATGTGTTAGTCTTCATTGTTTTTGTAACAAATTTTTGTAAAAAAATACATTACTAAAACATACTAATTATTGTTATTCGCGAATTGCATTTATTTACCGCATCTCTGGTGACTCAAACTTGAGTTGAGTCTTGAAATAATCCATGGAAATCAACTTGGCATTCGACGTGTTAATCTTCATCGTATCTCTCATAAAAAAGTGCTATTATTAAAAGATACTAATTACCGTTACATCACAAATTGCATTTATTTACCACATCTCTGGTGACTCAAGCTTGAGTTGAATATTGAAATAATCAGTGGAAATCAGCATGACAATCTACGTGTTAATCTTCGACATATTTCTTGTGAAAAATTGCTATTTAAAAAAAAAACTAATTACCATCATATCGCGAATTGCATTTATCTACCTCAGTGGTGACTCAAGTTTGAGTCGAGCATTGAAATAATCAGTAAGAATCAGTATGGGAATCTCAACGTGTTAATCTTCATTGTTTTCCTTGTGAGAGAACCACTAACCACTAACAGAAAACGAGAAATTGTCGTCACATCGCGAATTAAGGAACGCTCCTTTCATCGTTCGCATCATACCCTTCACATTCTCACAAATTTGCGCGTTCAAATCCCGCGACACGCAAATGCGCACGCAACAGTGATTCCGTTAGAGTGTCCCGTTACGACAAATTGATCTATCGTAGAAATTTATAGCGATCGCCAGGTAAACAACGATAATTTGACGCAGAGCAACACAACACGTCGTGGCGTAATCGCGACGATCTTCCGCGAAGGTCCATTTCCAAGCCCGGCTGCGTCACCGAGCCGCGTTTCTTTCCTTTTTTGCGCGCACGCCGCGCGGTCGGTGCCATCATCTAATCTCGCGGTATCATTTTATACTTGGCTGGCAGTAACGGTCGCTCCTCTGTTTAAGGTTCTGTACGTGTCGTAATCCTCGCGGAGAGCATTGCGCTCGCGGTGCACCGTCGCGTCACGGTTTCCGCGTCCCGCGTTAATTTGAGCGCGAAGAGGCACGGGGAAGCCGAGTTTACTTCGAGATAATGCGATCCCAATAACGAAGTAAGAGTCGCGATTACGAAATGGAGCGAACTGCCAGGCCGGCAGTCCTCAAATCTGCGCGAGCTGTCTCGTTCCACATTCGTCAATTAAGGATAATTGCCTTGCGCGGAGGAATGCCGGTTTTAGAGAACTGTAACCGCAGGCTTGCACTTTCATCGTGAGATGACGGAGAGACCAGAGTCTCGAGTAGAAATTAAATTTTGTGACTATAGTGTCACGAGATAGTATATTTGTGTTTGACATTTCTATTAATCAGTAACGTAATGCTCGCTTCTTCTGGTGGCCATATAAATAAGTTAGTGATTGTTATACAAGAGAAATTACTATGCTATGAGAAAAATTAAATAACTGATTATAACTTACTTTACTAAACATAAATTATAAATAAATAGTTATAATTATAAATTATCTAATTCCAAAATGTTATAATGGAAGTGTAATAGTTGGATTGCATTTTTTAGAATAGACAGTACCATTTACTTTATTATATTTGATATGTAATGACTAGACAACGACCAAACCACAAAACTGACTCTATATTTTAGTGAGTAATTAGTGAATAATCAGAACTTTGGATTTTAATTCCATTTTCTTTTCTTCAGTCATGAGTAAAAGTGCTAGAATGCAAGAAAAACAATAATGCTACTAAATAATAATGAGCTACTGACGAACTAGAGAATTGAATTGAATTTAATGATTATCACCCGAATTTAGAATCTGCATCAACATCCGCGACAACTTCCAATGAGAACTTCCAATGAGAAAATTCGCGCAAGACTAATAACGTGCTAATAACGAGCTAAAGAAATTTAATCTGATTCGTATTAGCTAGCTCCTAGTTTTGGAATCAGGTCTAGTTACATTTCTGCACGAAATGCGAATCATAAGAAGATCTCAGCCGACATTATAATGTGATTCAATAAAGCTATAATTAGAACTATCGCACGCGGAAGAAGATACATTCCAAAGACGGAAATTTCTCAGCGTTATCGCCATATATCTAACGATTATTATTCGAATCTGCGATCTGCATTAACATCCGCGAGAGAACTTTCAGTGAGAACTCGAAGGAAACTCGCGCGGATGCTCAGCCAACACAGACACGTGCCCGTAATCATCAGCACCGTCTTCGTATCCTTTCGGTGCGTTGTGCCACATGCACTATTATGCGCTCACTCGTGCGTGCTCGTTTCGCGTGTCGTATCCTCGCTGCAGGAGATTGCATTCTGCATCGCGCGTAACACGCGCTTCCTCCCGGCGCATAATGGGCCTTCTTCTTCGTTCGCGAACTACTCTTGGCGTACGAGCGACGAGGGAGATCCGCGGCCGCGAGTATCAGTGACCGTAAATTTTCTTCCTCCGCTCGATTGATAATTACATCTGCCGAGGACAATCCTCCCTGATCCGCGGCCGACGGGGAACGCGGAAGTCGAGGTCGCTCTACACGCACGAAGGCGTCGAGGAAATGCAGGGCCATTACCCCACGCCATGTCATTGTTGCTCTCGACGACGTCGCTCCTTCCTGGATCGTCTTATCTCCCCGGGGGATATTAACGATAAGGCCTCGCCGACTCGCCGATGTTGTTGCCCCGCGGATGCTGCGTGGGAACGCTAATTAAGGGGAACGAAAGAGGTCACGCTCACGTTGCTCTCTCGTTGTATCAATGTCAACTTCAGGTTAAGGAGGTTTCTTCGATTGTGTCTCTCTGTTGCTCTGATACTTTTATTTGTGACAAAAAAGAAAAATTAAATTAAAAATTCAAAGTTTTCAATAAGAATTTTTTCAAAGTTGACCAACTCTTTTTCTAACAAGACAAAGTTTGTAAGATAAAGTTTTATACGCTAAAGGATAGGGCCTTCCTTTCAAATATAAATTTATTTAATTACAGAAATTAGAAATCCAAAATTTTCAATAAAAGTTTATTTAAAATTGAGTAACTCCTTTTTTCTTTAAAGCTTTATTCGTTAAAGGTCCGACTTCCCCTTTAAATTTACTTAATTGAAGAAATTAAAAATTCCAAAATTTTTAGTAAGAATTTTTACAAGGTTAAACATCTTCTTTCCTAAGATAAAATTTTACACATAGAAAGTACAACTTTCTCTCTAATGTAAATTTGCTTAATTAAAGAAATTAAAAGTCCAATATTTTCGATAAGAATTTCTTCCAAGTTAAACAGCCGCTCCTCTAAAACAAAATTTCATAGAAGATACGATGTTTGACTCAAATGTAAATTGGTTTAATTAAAAAACTGTGTTATATTGTAACAACCATAACACAGGCTGTTTTCCCTCATGAAACACGATGCAGAATTAATTTTCTTACACGAACGCTCTTCAGATTTCCTTTGGGAATGCTGCATTGTGAGGTGAGAACGCGCGCCGCACTTTTCCGGCGTTTTCCGCGGCGTGCGATTCGATTTGATCACGTCGTTCTCGTATATAGATCGGTGCGCACGCACGCCTGAAATGGAATCCGATTTCTAACGGCGTTTCACCCGACGGAAAACGCATTCTGACGCCGGTCGACCGGCTGGCCAGCCTGCCGGCCGATTGCGGAGGCTGCGGAGTACCGGTCGCGGTTCGCCGTGACGCCGGACTTCGCTCCCAGAGCGACTAAAAGGAACAACGCTAGACGGTAGATAGTCGCGTTTGAGCGAAGACTAGAGCGACTTCGGACCACGTCGTATCCTGCTCACGCGATCGTCACTTCCTATCGCTATCACGCTCGTCTATATGCTCCGGCAGTAGCTTTTCGAGTAATGGTTCGACGAACTTTGCTGCGTCCGTTAACAGTCTCATAACGAGATTCTTGATAATAGACATTCTTTCATGATGGATATATTTCCGACTCGACAGTCACATTTCTATTTCTTCGTGCAGATTCAATTTTAATACCATATTTATAAGTTTCTTCTCTTATTTTCGGGCAGATTTTATTTCCTGATTTTCTATTTTAGTATGATATTTAGGTTATTTAAATAGAAATAATATTTATTTTTTATAATTCCATTATTTTTTCATTGGTTACACTAGGAGAAGAAATATATCTAAAAAATATAAAAAGATATTATTAACACATAATATATCTATATAGAAATAAAATAATATTATAATATAAAATTTATTTAACAAAGGTATTAATAATATATTTACTTTTACTAATATACGTGTTTTTACAAACAAAATATTTTTTAAATAAGAAAATATACATTTTCTTAAAACCCTCACCTTTTCACTACAGTAATTGTTTATTCAATTTAAATAAAGAAATTTAGATTTAAGTGAATATGTTATTAATTTTCATCGAATAAAAACTTTTTTATTTTTTAGATATTTTTTCTTTTAGTGTATGATAACATTCAATTCTTAAAGAGACATCTTTCTTTCTTTCTTCTCGATTGCGGCACTAGTTGTAAATTGAATTTATTTATTTTCTGCTAATTATTTGGTAAAGCGCGTGTCCATCGTAGGTGACGATGTGGACGATTTTACTGCTACTGGTCTCCACGTGGTCTTCGTCATGGGGTCAGGTGATAAACAGGGCGCCCCACTTCATTCAAGGCGGGGACATGGCCAGGTTGGCCGTGTCGGAAGGCACACCATCTGGTGCTCCTGTTTATACTCTTCAGGGAGAAGATCCCGAAGGCTCCAGACTGCATTACTCCATCAGTGGCGAGTACTTCACCGTGGACAGGGAGACTGGTGTTGTGATCCTGAGGAAAGCTCTGGATAGGGAAACGCAGGATCTTATCGAAGTCATCATTAGCATAACGGGTGAGATTTTTACAAATAAATTAATTTACGTTACACGGTTATTTAGTTTTTATTACACAATATTAATAACACATATATAATATAATTAAAAATATATTATATTTAATAATTATATTTTTAATATATATATATATAATTTATTATATCACATTACATATAATTTATTAATATCATTGTATTACTTATTTAATATGTGTTAAATGAGTAATACATTTTTAATTCGTACATATATATATTTATTAATACATATATTATATTTAATTTACACTTTAAATTCACATGACACGCGTTTTTTAAAGAAAATTACTTAAGAGCCAGGTTTACTTTGGTTATACAATTCGGTTATGAAATGTCTTTAATATTAATTAGATACATAAATTAAATTCCTTAAGGATTATTTGTTCTTTTCAGACGAAGGTATCGCCGGGTCGGAACCCAACACGGTGTCCCTTCGTCGTGAGATAGCTGTACTCGACGAGAACGACAATCCGCCGGTATACCATGGCCGGCCTTACGCGGCCAGAGTCCCGGAGAGCGCTCAGGTGGGAGGCTTGCTGCTTCCTTCGGGCACGATCACGATCACCGATCGGGACGGTGGCGTAAACGCCGACGTGCATGTGCAATGCGTTGCGGCGTCGCGGGACGACGACGTCTGCGAGGTCTTCGACGTTTCCACCGAGAAAGTAATTGATTCATCAGTATTGTAGACTGCAATTTAATCAATAAGAAATCAACAAAGCCAATAAGAGCCCATGCAAGATCAAATTTGCGAAACCTACGCTCGATCATTAAAAAAGAGAGTATTAAAATTGAAAAATAACAAATGGATCATTAAAAATGTCATGTTTTAGTTTTGAATATTCTTTGAGAATTTCTGCCTTTCATACTGGTGGTATGTCCTTAGTCTGAAAATTCTAGTTTTTATTTCTGAGTTTTTTTTTCTTTAAAGAAGATGGAAATGGCGACTCTTAGGGTCGTATTAATAATTATCGCCTGAAATTTATCTCATGTGAGAATTTTTATTTTGCTCAAATTCTTATTCTCCTTTCTTATTCAAATTCTTATTCAGAATTAGATCTAAGTTTTTTCTCTTAATTATGATATAAGCGATTATATTCGTTTAATCGCGATTCAACTGAAAAACTCTCGTTTAATTCTGAATTCAAATCTGAATATTTCACTTGAGAAGAAATAACTTTTCAAGTAATAACTATTTGTGCCAGTTTTAGATCCATATTTATAGTTGTTATTTGAAATTTGTCTTACGTGAGATCCTCAGATCTGAATTTAGAATTAGATTCGAGTTTTATATTTGAATCATATAATTCATCCGACATTATAATTGCGATTCAGCTGAAAAACTCACACCTAACTTTAAATCTGAGTATCGCTGTCAAGTAACAACCTAGAAGTCCTTTTAATGCTCGAGTTTTTACTTCATTTTAATGATTGAATAGCTTTTGCAAATTAGATTTTGCTCCTATTGGATTTTTTTGTTTCCTTTTGTTGATTGTGCATCCGAGAACTTTAATACTTTATTCGCAATTTAGTCGCTAATGTAATTCCAGGAAGTGATTCTTTTATTCCGGAAAGGAAATTAACGAGAGTACTAATGTCGCTTCCAGCTCGCCGAGGGGAGATACGATGTGCAGATTACGCTGGCGAAACCGTTGGATTACGAGAGGAGAAATTCGTACTTGATCAATCTGCTGGCGGTGGACGGAGCCAGCGACCCGCTGAAGCGGCTGCAGGCCCGAGCAACCGTTGCTGTCGACGTCCTCGATGTTCAGGTAAGTAGGTCGCGAACGTCGCTCAAGTAACATAGCCGGCGGTGGCCTCATATTGGATAATAACATCGTTTGCGATAAAATTAGCGGGGAATCGTCCTCGATTATTCAATCATTGCCTGTCAACGCCAGCGCCGTCAAATAAGACTTCGTCGAGTCCGCGAGTTACGCTTAGGGTCTGTAATCGCGCTGATGAGTGAACGTGGCTTGTAATTTTATCATCTGTGTCACGTTCTTCTTTTTCACTCAGGATCAGCCACCCGTTTTCCTGAATGCGCCCTACAGCGCGGCGCTTCCGGAAAACACCGCAGCTAGTCACACGGTCCTGATGGTGCGAGCGCGCGACGGTGACACCGGCGAGCCGAGGAACCTGTTGCTGACGTTGGAGGACGAGGACGTAGGCCACTTCGACCTCGTGATGTCCCGCGACGGCGATGTCACGGTCGGCCGGTTGGTCACGACCAACATATCCCTGGATCGTGAGGACCCCAGGATACTGCAGAACGGCGGCATTTACACCTTCCAAGTCAGAGCCACCGAGTTGATCAACAATGAGATTCCGGCTGACTCCGCGACGTCGGTCGTGACAATCGTAGTCACGGACGTGGACGATCTCGTGCCGGTATTCAACGAGGATTTCTTCAGCATCAAGATCTCCGAGGATATTGGAAAGGACACTCCACTACCAGGTCGTTTAGTAGATCAGTCGTATTGTCTACTTATAACGTTAACGGCCGATTTTTCAGTAGTAACTTAAATTCAGATTTCAGTTTAAACTTTGTTCTAACAATGCGACAGTCGATGTGTTTGAATAGAGTTTAAATTTATTTTTAACGCGGAAAAATATCTAGTTGGCCCACGCATAAATCTGATTACGGCAATCAGATTCAGTATCGAATCAGAGTTCAGATTAAAGAGATTAAATTTAAGTTTAAACTACTATTGAAAAATCGGTCTTAAATAACATATTTAATTATTTTTAAATAATTTTTTATCGAATTCTTATGTAAAAAATTCAGACATCCTTACATGGTAAGAAATAACTGAGTATTTTTGTATTTTTAATTTTTTAAAGAAAGCAAGAGACTTTTTAAATTGATGAATAGACAGAATTTTCTATCTTGACGATTTTAATATTAACTCTCTTTCTCTCTTATTCTTAATAATCGTTTATAAGACTTTGGCAGACATGAAATTTGCGATTATTTAGCTATGTACCTTCCATTGTCCGCGTCTCTTCTACGATTCAAGGAGATCCTCCGTCTAACGACATCATGATTAAGCAGGTCTGAATATGATTGTAAGCGACGGTGACGTGGGCGACAATGCGAAGTATTTCCTGGCACTGCGAGATGTGCCGAGGTATCCTGGAATTAGCAAGGCATTCACTGTCAGTCCTGAAGAGGCTCAGGGTCGTATGCCGGTTGTGATCAAGGCTAAGGACGTCAACGTTCTCGACTACGACGTGGACGATCCCGCAAAGAGGGAACTCGAGTTCGAGGTCGTCGCGGTGGTGGCGAATAGAGTGGTTAGTTTTAAACAAATTTTTCTAACATTTCTCAATTAATTATACAGAATCTGCTTAATCGTCACATACGAGTTAACTCGTAGTTTGCGTGCAAAAAGAATCTTCTGCTCCATATGTCAACTATGAGTTAAATCGCAATCAAAATCGTTACTTGAATTATATATGACTGTGATAAGGAGATATGTAGTTAAAAAGATAATTAATAATTAGACAAAATTAATAAATTATATAACTGTGTTAAAAAGATATATACACGGAGAAAATATATTATAGTTCTTTTTCATATAAATTCTTTCCAATCTTACTAACAGAATAGGAATAGTCTGTCAGTAAGGTGCCAAGGGACATAGTAAATTTCGTTAAGAGCAAGTTTTTTTAGCAAATTTTAGCAATTCTTTTAATAGCACATTTCAGTTTCTAAAATATAAACAGCACATATGAAATAAAAGAATAATAAATTGCTGCACACGGAAAAAACAGTTTTGTGACGCAACCGAATTTTCAATTGCTGAGGGACCAGACGAAAACTCGGTTGTAGGAACAGAAAAATTCCTTTATGAGGCTTCTGTATAGTCAATTGTTCTCAGTTGTCTCAACCGAATTGAATATCCAGACGAATATTTTCGGTTGCAACAACAGAAATATTAGTTTTCACAACAGAGATATCGTTTCTGATCACCAAATTTTCAGTTGGTCCCTATTTGGTTGCACCAAGTGAAATTTTTTTTGCGTTGCAGAATATCGATCTCTGTTGTAAAATTCAATAGCAATTTTTATTATAAATTTCTTTCCGTGTGAATACAAAGGTCCTTAACTGTTAAGGAGAAATCGTCTTAAGATCTACGTACTCTATGCTGCAGGTGGCCGTCTCCAGAGTGCACATCCAGCTGTTGGATGCCAACGACCACAGTCCCGAGTTCTCACAGTCGGTGTACAAATTGTCAGTGACGGAAGACGCGGAACCTGGCACTCGTTTCGGCGACGTTTACGCGAGGGATTACGACAGCGGCTCCTTCGGCAAGTTGACGTACACGCTACGTGGTTTCGGCGCGGACAAGTTCAGCACCGATCCGCAGGTCGGTGGCATATCCGTGGCGAAGAAACTGGACTACGAGACGCAGAAGTCCTACTCATTGACGATGGAGGCGAGGGACGGCGGCGGCCGAGTCTCCGCCGTTAATATCCTCATCGAGCTGGACGACGTCAACGACAACCAGCCGGTGTTCGAGCAGGCGGAGTACTCCAGGACAATTCGCGAAGGCGCTACCAGCTTCGATCCGCAACTATTCGTCAGGGCGACTGACGTCGATGGGCCGACTCAGGGAAACGGAAGAGTTCTCTATTCGATCAGCAGACACAACAGCATGACGGACGACGTCTTCAAGGTCTGTAGTTGAAACGTCTTTGCATTTCCTTCAGGTTGACAGCTTCAGGTTAACCAGGTTGAATACTATTAAAAAAATGTTGTAGAAATAAGAAAATTACTATCAATTACAATATCGTGGTAAAATTGTTTATATTATATTTGATATTATATTTTATATATTTTGATATATTATCTTTTCACTTTTAAATGAGATTGCCTGTATTATATATATAAATATTTTATATATTTCATTTGAATATTTATCTTTTTATTTCGGCGAGAGATCAAGAGAATAAATAATTATTGAGGCTTCGTTGATGTACGATCAAAATAATTTAATAAAGGACCAATAAGAATCTGCGCATATGCATTTGATATATATATAATAAAATATAGTGTTGCTACAAATATCCATATTTTAATCAGGATATATATTTATAAAATTGATTTATAAAATTGAAGAGAGAAATGGTGTATCTATGTGTTCGCGTTTTAAACAAGAAAATATTATTATAAGACTGTACTGACAATCAAAATAATTTAACAAACTCTGCAGGTCAATTCGGTCTCGGGTGAAGTAACCATGTCGAAGCCAGTTCGCTCCGGTGATACTGAGAGAGGCATTTACGAATTGATAATCCGTGCTACGGACACTGGCACACCGCCATTGTACTCCGAGGCGAAGGTTCTCGTTCGCGTTGGAGTGCCGGGTAACCAGAAACCCATCTTCCGAGGAAACTACAAGTCGAACTTGCCGGGTCCCAGTACTTATCGGGCGAGGCTCTTGGAGAACGCCGCTCCTGGAACGGAAGTTATTCGGGTGGTCGCCAATGATCCCGACGGCAGAGACAATCTGCTCCAATATTACATCGCGTCTGGGTCCAAGGACAACTTTGTCATTGACTCCAGGTGCGATATTGATAAACCTAACAAAAAAACTATTATACGAATTTGTAAATTAAAAAAAATTGTTCTATCTGCTATAAGTTCTTTTTAGCCCTTTCAAGCTTTACTTTTATACTTTTCTCTGATTTTTTACTTTTCTTCAGATTTCCTCAAATTAAGAAATTTCTTGAATTTTTCTTTCCAAAATTTGATAGTAGAAATATAATGTAGAATATAATGAGTAAAGATTAATGTAATTATTAGATAAGTAATGAAATTTTTTCTTCTTATAGCTCGGGCATCATAACTGTGTCACCTGATGCTCGCTTGGACCTGGAGACCGGCGGTGACAAGTACGAGGTGATCGTGTACGCCGTTGATTCTGGCACACCCGTCAAAGAAACTGCCACTACTACCGTCACAGTGAACATTATAGACGTGAATAATAAGCCACCGACTTTCAATGAGTCCACGTATCAGATTTACGTTTCGGAACGTGCAGCTATTGGTACGTTTCTAGCCAAATGAAAATACCAAATAAAAATCAACTTTCAGAAAAATTCCATATTCAACTAACAAACGTTATCTTGAAAATTATCGATAAGCAAATTGATAGCAGAGTGCGCGCAGATTGACAGCAAATTTGATCAGAATTCCAAACCAAAACCACAGCCATCTGTGTCCGCATTCAGTTCGTGTTTTGACGTTAAAGTCTGCTGATAGGCAATGCGAACAGATTGACAGCAGAAATCATGCAGATCCTATTGCGCAGCAAGGTCTGTTCGGTTTCTGCTGTCTGCCGTCAGATCGTTACAGATTCTGCTCGGTTTCTGCCGCCAATCTGCTCGGATTGTCTGTCAGCAGGCTCTGTCACTTTTCTGCCGATAGTTTGGCAACATAATCTGATATAACAAATTCTGTGTTGGATTTGTTGCCTTTCTGTTATCCAAAATTTGTAGCAGGCTCTGTTCAACATCTATTTACGTAGGTTTGACTATTTGAAATTGTTGTTTTCAAATAGTAGTTTGGCTACTTTTGACGAAATGTATTCTATGAAAGATATTTCGCTCGTAGGCGAACCTGTTTTGAAAGTGATAGCAACTGATCCCGACGCGGACGCCTATCTTGAATACTCTCTGGTGGAACCGATACGAGCTGTTGACAAGACCGGCGTGGCATTGAAAAGCACTGCCTCTTATGATTATAAGACTGCTTTTCGCATCAATTCTACAAGCGGCTTAATTACCGTGAACCAGGTGCTGGATTATCAAGTGGCCGCCGTCGTGATATTAACTGTGCAGGCGCAGGACTTGAACGCCTTCGTCAATAAGGACGAGCAAGTGGCGAAGGTGGAGGTGACAATTTACATTCAAGCCTACAGCGACGACAATCCGGCGTTCACCAATCCTGGGTGGTCAGCGAACAATCCGACGATCAGAGTTACGGTTCCGGAGGAGCAGCCGTTGGGCACCACGCTGTTGATGCTGTCGGCGAAAGAGCCGGTAACGGGATACTCGATCCAGAGGTTCGAGCTGGTGAGAGAGGACGACGACGAAGGCTACGTCAACGTCGGTGTTCAAAGCGGCAACGTAGTGCTGAACAAGAGGCTGGATTACGAAGCGTTGAATCAGAAGGTAGTGAGACATTCTCCCTGATAAAATATACCAGAATTAAAATATCTTAAAGAATTAAAAAGTATGTACAAGGTGCTTGACAGCATCCGTATCAAAGCTAATATATCTCTCGAATAGATCAGGATAAGTTACAGGATCTGTCAAACACCCTGTAAGTGCAATATAATACATGTTGTATGTAACAATTATATTGTTAAGTAGGATATTACACTAAGAGAAATTACCCGTTAAAAAATTAACAAATGAATATTCCCAATTAAATTCCGATCAATTTTTATATTTGATCAGGATATCTGATTAAATTTTATCATTTCCGATCATAATGGTATTTCATCAGATAAACCGATAAAAAAATTATAAAGTAATATTTTTCATCGGATACAAAAATTCATTAGTATTTTGATCGGAAATATTTATTTGTTAATTTTTTATCTGATAATTTCTCTCAGCGTATAACATTGATGTGATATTATTGTAACCTAATGTTCACTACTATAATAATATAGTATTATGATACGTTTTCAGTTTATTACTATAATATTGTGTTTGTTTTCAGTTTATTCGCTTCAAAGTGCGAGCGCTTGCCAGGGACTATGATATAACGCGAAAGATGTCGGAGGCCAACGTGATCGTCGAGATTCAGGATACCAACGACAACAGTCCGATCTTCAATCAGAAGGACTACAAGATTTCCGTGTTGGAGTCGGCGAAGTCCTCGAAGATCGTACTGAATGTGATAGCGACTGATATGGACAGCTCCAGTACCGAAGAAGAGATCAAAAGAGGATACGGCGAAGTACGATACTCTCTGACTGGCGAGAATGCGAATCTGTTCGAGGTGGACCCCATAATGGGCAACATCCAGGTGAAATAAAAATCTCTCAATGTTATAATTTTCAATTTTATGTCTTAAACTGCAACATTGGAAAAATGCCACAGTTTCAAATATATATCTTAGAAATGTTTGAAATATTTCATAACTTATTAAACATATCCTAATTTAATTTCTAGATTAAGAACTAACAAGTCACAAATTAATGCGAAGCAGTATAATAATTTTAACAATATTTAAAAGATACTATTACATTTTAGATGTCTCTTAGACGATCTTTGCGTTCTCATTTTGTCAGAATAATTAACGAAATAAATGTTCCATAGATTGCCGCAAACACGACTCTCGACAGAGAGAGGCAGTCGGTCCTGCGTTTCTACGTCGTGGCGTCGGACGTGCCGCAAGGTGGAGCCGAACAACGAAGCAGTCGAGTTCTGGTGACAGTCGACGTCATCGACGTTAATGACAACGAGCCCAGCTTCGAGCAGGAATCCTACACGGCGGTGATCCCTGAAAACGCGCCGGTGGGAATCAGCGTGGTGAACATCACCGCTACTGATCCCGACGAAGGCGAAGGCGGGACGATCCACTATGAGATTGTCGACGAGGGTGAAGCTAACGGTAAGTCGCGAATAGACGAAGGACAGACGAGATATTTCGTACAATAAGGACAAGCTGACTTGAAATTTTAACCCTAATTTCGACTTAAACTTTCTAACATCTGTATATTTTGAAAAATTAGTGTACGTTTGATGTATGAAAACTAAAATCTTACTTAACACCTCTAAATAACAGAAAATGCACAAAATGCTATTTGTAGATCTCAAAGAGCTACAAGTGTAAAGTACGTAGGTTAAATAGAATCAAAAGAGATTTATGTAGGCTTCAGAATATTAAAATAGGTGTTAAATATTGAAAAATAGGTGTTAAATAAGTCTAAACTTATTTCTACTAGAGTGGACAAAATGATACTTTTTTTTTAAATACAAAATGCAGAAGTGAGAAAAGTAAACGTTTGTTTACTTTTTTAGTTCCATTCAACGTTAAATATAAAATGCATCGTTACAAAATTGAGTATAATTTTTATAAGAAATTAAAAACCAATTATTTTGATTTTCTCTAAAACAAGTAAAACGCTTTGTATGTTTCGCAAAGAAACTCAGAATGTTCACTGCGTGGTTATTATTTCTCTCAGGGCTGTTCAAAATAAATCACACGACTGGCGAGATCTACTCGGCGCGAGCATTGACGGGCAAAGGGAGGACTGAGCCCTACAACATGCGAGTGCGAGCGCAAGACAACGGCGAGCCGGTCTTGTTCTCAGACGTGGATCTGATCTTGTACATCGGCGACGTAGTGAGCAACGACGGCGTGCCGCTGTTCATCCGGCCGACGTTGGAAGAGGTGGCCTACATCTCCGAGAACTCCACCGTCGGCAGCCCGGTGTTCCAAGTGGTAGCGTCCGATCCCGACGACCCGAACCTGCCGAATGGCAGGATCACCTTCCGCTTTCTGGAGGACGGTAATTTTGGCAAAGACGCGAGCGCCTTCAGGATCAACGGCGAGACCGGCTTGATCAGCACCCGCAAGCTGCTCGATCGCGAGGCCAAGGACAGCTACACGCTGATCCTGGTGGCGCAGGACCTCGGCGACCCGCCGCAGCAGGCCACCAGAGTGCTGCAGGTGATCGTAAACGACATTGACGACCACAAGCCGCACTTCAAAAGGAGCCTGGACAGTCCGCCGATCGAGCTGAGCGTGCTGGAGGAGACGCCGCTGGGTACGAAGGTCGGCGTGATCGAGGCGATCGATGAGGACATCGGCGAGAACGGAATGATCGACTACGAGATCGTGTACGGGAACGAGGCGAGGTTGTTTTCGGTGCAGCGGCTCGAGAACAACTCCGCCGTCATCAGGTCGAACGGCCGTCTGGATCGAGAAACCGCGGAGTCCCACTTGCTGACCGTCAAGTGCTTCAAGTACACCTCGAGGCGAATGGACATAGTGCCGAAACCGTACAACAGACAGGATCCCTCGGAGAGACAAGTGCTCGTCAGGGTGTTGGACGTCGATGACAACAAGCCACGCTTCAAGAAGGACAACGTGACTCTGGGGGTTCGTTTGAACGTGCCTATCGACACCAGCTTGATTACTCTGGAGGCCGACGATATCGACTCCAGCGCGTTACCCATCAACTACAACATGAGCAAGGTCTCCTTCACGTCCTTGGTAGATTCGTCCATGTCGCAGAAGGAGATCCCGTCGCAGTTGTCCTTGAACGTGCGCACCGGCGAGCTCAGGACGACCGGCTCGATGGCGGGCTACGCGGACGGCTTCATGGAGATGATCGTGTCGGCGAACAACTCGGCGACGCCGGGCCGAGAGACGAACATCACCGTGAGAATCTTCTTGCTGCGCGATCGCGACATGCTGAAGTTCGTGTTCTCGAAGCCGCCGGTCGAGGTGAGGAAGACGCTGGAGGACTTCGAGAGGGCGGTCCAGCAGGCACTCTCGCTTCCCATCAGCGTCAACGTCTACGACACGCAGTTCTACTCCAAGGAGGACAACTCCTTGGACTTTTCGTCCACCAGCTCGTGCTTCCAGATGGTCGGCAAGGAGTCCTACGACTTGGACGAGATGAGAGTGCTGTTGACCGACCCGAAGAACGAGGAGCTGAAGAAGGTGTACAGCGCGTACCATGTAGAGAAGGTGCAGCACTGCGCCGCGTTGGTAGCGCGTGCTGACGCCTCCATGACACAGATGTGGGTCCTGGCGATCGCCGTCCTCGTCGGGATCGCCACCATCGTCTCCAGCTGCGCGCTGTGCTGCATGCACGCAAAGTAAGCGATGAATCTGATTGTGCACAGAGATCTTTAGTCAAGTTGTCAGAGAAAATTGTTGTCTCTCTGCAGAACAAATAATATAATTCCTAGGGTTTAATCATGCCACACACATACCACTGAGATCATATCATACATAACTTATTATAATCCTATAACATCACTTTTTATAAACTAAATATCTGGCTGTGGGATTAATGTAGTTAGAGCCATGGGATAAATTTCTAGTCGGGTTATATACATGGAAAAGAAGTTTGGTTGAATCACTCAATTTCTGGTAAAATACGAATGAGAAATTTTGTTTGAAGTTACCAGAATTCAGTCGAGATTTCTCATTAACTTAAACAGCATTCTGGTATTTCTAAACCGTTCATACTTCACCAGAAATTGTTTTATTCAACCAAACTTTTACTTCCGTGAAAATGTATAATTTATGATGTAATGTGATAAATGAATATCCAAAATAATTTCATTTCTTGGGAATTACGACTTATCTCGACTTATACGACTTTTTTTATTTGTCGAATCCTGGATATTTGTTTTATAATATTATAAAAAGCTACATAATATTTGACTATGACTATGACTTGTAATCCAATTGAAAATTTGTCTTTGTCCTCTCGTTAGTCCTCTCGTTATCTTTGTCAGTAGCCATAATTATTTTTTTCTCTTCGTCGCTTAAAACACACTTGGCAGCGAGCGCGTTAAGGTCGTTTGCGCGCTCGAGACCCACTTTTTCACGGCACGGACCGCACAGATGCCGTTTAGAAAGGAGGTCGGAACGAAAATGTTGCAAGATCTGTGTTTCTCTTTACAGGTATAAACGGCAGGTAAAGCATGCGCGTTTGCGCGATCAACCGCGACCGCCACTCAGTTACGTGTCTTCCGGCCCAGCAATGGTCAGTGCTGGGTCTCACACGACTCTGGGTCCCGGTACAATGGTGACACTGGGCCCGCACGAGGGCCCGTACGAATGGGGAGCCGAGACGACGCTTTATCATCCAAGCACGCTGGGCTCCAGAACGTAGAACGGGATGTAGAAAGATCTGCGGATCTATGAGCTACGTCGACTCTTCTTTAACGAAAATTCGTATGAGAAATTGAGAAAAAATTAATGATTGAACGATTGTGTTGCAACGAAGTTTTATGTAGGGTTCAACTCGCTCGTTGCTTCTCTCGAGATGTCCATTGTCAAAAGTAATGAGAAAGGATGAAATTGCTGATGGAAGAAAATCGACCAGAGACTTTCTGAGACGCGGTACCCTGACAGAGTTCTCTTTGAACCCAGTGAATCTTGAAGACAACCAGTGCTCTCTGATATTAAGAGGTTGTATCGGGAGATACAACAGAACTGTCAACAGAACTGTGTAATTTATGAACTTGCAGTTGGGGAACGAAGCGAATCGATGGTGCTATATTTGTAATATAAAAAGTGCCGTGCTGTTATAGATGGGAGATATATGAGACGTATGCGATGCGGAAGCTTGTGAAGTTTCCAAGGCTCACGTCAAAATCTATGAGGGACGCTTCCAGACTTGTCCTTATAAGAGACGTTTAGATAGCCAGTCCCGTTGATGACGCGCGTGTAATTGTTCTCACGTACGTCATCGCTCGATGTAAACAAGATCTCGCTTTCTACCTGCCATTCAGGCCGTCAAGGCACGAATGGCTTAGCTCACATGTCTCGGATCATCTTGATTTGATGGATGAAATTTCACGAACTTCCGCGTAGGCTGATGAAGCAATACACGGTTTGTAAAGTACAACTGTGTTCTTGTAAGTAATTTTTTATAGATTTACTAACCGCGAGATTGTATATTTTATTTAGACGACGGTTCTGCGGTGTTATTATTGAACAAAAAACCGCACGCGCAATTGTGTTGTAATATAATACCGTATTTAGGACGAAATAAAAAATTGTACATTTCATCGTATTTATAAACGACAATATATGTATATCTATAAGTGTGTCGTGTAATTTAGTTTAGTCTTTTTTTGGAGATTTTTTATGTATATATTACATAGAAATTATTTTTCGAATGAATCATCCAGGTAAGTATATGTGCCAATAAAACTATAAATTGCATAATTACCATTAACATTTCTCTCTCTCTCTTTTACACTTTCAAATACTTTCAATCATTCCAGGTTTCTTAAAGCTTTACATAACGGGGAAGAAACTCTCACGGAAAATATTGTTTTTTAATTATCTAGTTTAAAAAATCCGATAAAGATTGGTGGAAATATATACAAATTTTATTCAACATATGATTTTCTTTAGAGATTTATTAATTTTATTAGGAATTTAAATTTCTCACATTTCAATTCATATAAAATGAGTTATGAATTTTTTTCGTTTTATTAACTTACCATTAACGATTAAATATATATTATATTAAATGATTAAATATTTATATAAATACACATTCCTTTCTATTTAATTTTATCATCTTTACTAAAAATACCATTTAGTTACATAAATTTTTCTTATCCAATTTTATCAAATCTTTTAAGCAGGATATACTAACATTTTGATTATTAAAATTCCATAGTTATCTCGCATCTCGCAAATACAATGTATCTGGCAATACAGTGGCCTATGAAGTAATCAACAAAGAACTTTCAAAAAATAACGAACGCCTTTCAATCGTTCACGACAAGAGAATATGCGAGAACATGTAGAGATCTCTGAACGCCTTCGACTCGGGAAAATGTCAAGGCGAGGAAGCAGTTCGAATCAGGTGTACAAGTTAATTGTAGTCGCGGTATTGAAATTTCTGAGCGATTACGTGGAGGCACATTGACGTCATTCTTTTCTCCAAAAATGTTCAACGTGATGGATACGAGCCGGAGCTTGCTGCGACGTTTATTAATAAAGAAGTCTTACTCGTTTATTATTACAAGTCCGAATCCACTCTCCATATCACCTTGTGGAGTTATCCTTGCCACGGAATTGACACCATATGTCAATGACTTCTGATCTTTTTCGCGCGTAAAACATTCTCTAGACAAATAAATCGCTAAATCGCATCAATTTTGATATTGAGGAAGTTAAACACCTTAACCCCACATGTGAAAAGCTTAAATCCAAATTGTAACATTTTTTCTTTTCAATATTTTATTATGAAATTTAACATAAGTTTACATTATATATTAATAGAAATATTGTTAGAAAAATAAGAAAATAGAAAACAAAGCTTTCCACGCGCGTAGCAAAGATGTGTTACTCTCTTGAAAGATAAGTGTATTATGAGACGTCTTTCTTCTCACATCGATTTTTTCAGTGGAGATCTCGAGGTCAGGGACTTTAGATTAGATCGCGACAGAAGCCTTACAAAAATATATTTCGTTCAACAATATACATCAACAATATTCAACAGCTCTCATTAAAAATGATGGGATGATCTCGACATTCTCTTGCCTAAATCATACTATCCACTCATTCGGAACGCAAGAGACCTTCGCTGAAGCGTTGAAATCCTTCGATAGTATCGACATCCTTCGAAAGGTCAACGCTTATGTTCACTTTGGTCTTCGGACTGTCGATAATCGTCGCGTTGTTGCAATTCGCATAGTTGTTCTTCGTGGGCTCTGTAGTTTTCTGTAGGTCGATCTCGTACTTCTCCGTGTCGACGTACTCTTCATCTGCGTTTATTTTGTGATTTAAAGGCACGGTGACGTTCTCCTCAACGCGATCTTCGTTATCCGGATTTGGATAGGTTTCTGAATCCTTATCTAATTCGAGACCTTCATCCTTCTCGTCCTTATCGTCCAAGCTGATCTCGTGATATCGTGTTAAAGGCAAGTTGCTTATTTTTGGATTTTCGTTTTCCTCGTACTTGGACTCCTCTATCGCAGAATGATCGGTCAGATGTTTGGCGATCGACTCTAACGGTGTCATTATCTTCTTCGCGAATTGCTGTCGCTCCTCGGATCCCATCAATCCCGATCTGTGAATGATGTCGTGTCTGAACATAAAATAAGAAAAAGTGAATCACAATATTGATATTTTTAAGTTACTTAAATTGGACTCAGTAAAAACGATTAAACTCCTTAAAATCCTTATATCGAGAGATCAAAATATCTAGAAAATAAAATATACTTATGATTATAGTGGATACTAACATATTTACTTAAATCTAAATTCTGTTATGTAAATAAAATAGACTATTGTTTTCATGAAAAGTTATGGTTTTAAAGCTCTTTGTAATAATTGTCGCGGCCATGTTGAATTGTGATGTCAGAAATGAAAAATGAAACGCTGAAAATTGAAACGAAAAATGAAATGAAAAATGAAACGCTGAAAATTATGTGCTATTTCTAAATAAAAAAATATTTGTACGAAAAAATGTTTTAGATGGCTTGAGCATACTTGTAAAATGCTCTAAAAATGATTATTTTCCTCTGATAATCAGTAAATAATAATAAAGTAAATGACAAAATTATGAGCAAAGGCAGGTTAAACAGGAAAGTTGCATGTTACGTTAATTTCACGGCTATTTGTCGACTGTCAAGAAAAAAGGATAGTCTTTAAAGCGATTTACAAGTATACTTAAGCGATCAGAAGTGTCCCTTTATATAATTAACTTCTTATTTCGAAATGTCACTCAGGAATTTTGGACATGCGCTTCTGACGTCATCAATCCAAAGGCGAGTATCCAAGAGTTTTAAAAAAGTATATATTTTCTCACTTGAAAATAATTTTATGTGAAATTATGTATATTAATAACCAAATATGTATATCAGTGTCCAGCAAACAAATATATTTTGTTTTTTAGATATTTTTTTTCTCAGTATATACCTGTTAAGCTTGTTCTTCTTCCGAGGATATAGATTCAAGTGGAATATCATCTGTTGTCTTTCCTCATCTTCCGACAACGTTGTAGGACTCGGCACAGCTATGAGGGGAAGGGGCGATTGCGAAGGTGACGCAAAGAATTTTGGGCCCCTGGTGAAATGCACAGGCCTCCTGGAGTCGTAATCGTCCGCGGGTGCCTGCGGCAGTGGCCACGTCGTCTTCTTGTTCTGCTCCATGATGTCGGTGATAGGGTAAATGTCAAGCATCACGCTGAACGGCTTCGGCTTCCGATTCTTCAAGGTGTTCGTCGAATATCCACCCACGTTCTCATACTGCGGCTCTGTCACGATCGGCTTGTTGTAATTGAATAAGGGTCGAGAGTACAAGGGATCGTAATAAGGGCTGTATCGATGTATGCCGCTCGGCGAGAACCTAAAACAAGATTATTCGATTATTAGTAGACTCGCATGTATTCTTATGTGCCTTTTCAGAGAAGTTAACTTGAATTGTGCATCTCTGATGCACAATCGACAAGGAGAGAAGATAATAAAAGCCAACGCGAGATCTCAGTTTTGAAGTTCACTCACAATGAATACTACCAGAGCAATTTTGATTCGTACTTATCCTATTTCCTTCAATTTTTTTAATGAAAAAAACGTGATAATATTTATTTTTTTGTATGGGCCTTAGTTTGCCTACCAAAGGACGCCAAAATTCGAAAAAACGTTCCCTTATAACTTACATTTAGCAATAGCTTAAACGACAATCTCATTGAGTACATTCAGAATATACTCAGCTAATACCAACTAACATTAACGTCAGATAACATTTCGTCAGTAATGCAAGTGTGTGATATATTGTTTTGGGTAATAAAAGTAATAAAAGTAATAAAAGTAATTTTCATTCAAAAAATTCATAAAATCAAATTCATAAAATGATTCAAATCGGGTATATGTATAGACGAGGTAAAGTGGATCTTATGCTAATGTAAACAAAAAAAATACTATATTGTTATATGAACATGTCTTTATACTTTTTTCCAAGCAGAACAGCAATAATAAATCTTACTTATTACAAAACTGTTTTAAATGATAAAATATTTTTCAAGATGCAAGGTCGTATATATTTTATATGTAGCATTCAGTTCTTACAAGACAAATATACAGTTTACAGAATAATTGCTCATATAAACATTAAAAAGATTGGCCTTATTATGTCTGTGCAGTTAATCACAAGAATTAGTTGTCTGAAAAGTTGTAACTTTGAGATTCTGAAAAATGTAGCATCTTGTCCCGATCTCCTCCATTAATCACTAGGTAAAATGAACGGATATTTCCGTTTCTGATGCACATGGTCTAATATATCCAATATATATTAATAAATAATGGTTAATAAATTCAGTAGGTTAATAAGTCGAGCTAATTACGAACCTCACGTTAGATGTGGCCAACAGGTTGACGTCGGCCGGATGTTTCGGTTTGTACTGGTAGAAAGGATCGTTATTGTATGTGACCGGATACGGGGGCTCCTCTTCCTCCTCGGACTTGTCACTGCCGGACATCATTTCTCCTATGCCGGGGAACAGGTCGTACTTTTTCGGATTCACGTAGACGCCGGTGAACTTGATGCCGCGATTCGGCATCTCCGCGTCGTTCGTCAAGTATTTGATGATGTCCTGTATATTCCTCGACGACTGGGGATACCGGTATTGCGAGAGCTGCGGATACCTGGGCCGTTTGAACGAGGACGGATGCGGCGTCTTGAATTCCCAGTGAAACGGCGTCGGTCGAGCCTCTTCCGAGCTGATGTCCTCGTCTGAATCGGAATGTTTGTATCTGACGAATTGATAAAAACGATGTTATAATATATCATAATTATAATAAACCATAATTATATATTATGATATATATATATATATATATATATATATATATATATATATATATATCGTACTTTTATGATGTATCACGATGGGAATATTTGCATAAATTTTTGTTAGATATTTTCTGATAAGAATTACAACTATTTTACAATAATAATAACTTTATTATGTATGGTCAAAATATAAAAAAATAGAGAGAGAGAGAGAGAGAGAGAGAGAGAGAGAGAGGGAAAGAGAAAATGAAGAAAATTGAAATGGTAAAAGAAGGAAAAAGATTACGTACATGTAATCATAGTTATTATTATTTTATGTACATGCAAATGGCACACGTACCTATCAGTTCTCTTCGTAATAACAAATATTATCGTTGCATGTGTGGTAGGCAGGCACGCACGTGTATATAAACACATACACGCGCGCGCGCTTATACACACACGTACATAGATACATTTTCACTTTTCAATTATAATATGAGAATGGAAAGATGAAACGTAAACATGGCGAAACACGTCGATCCTGTGCAAGGTGCAGTTTGACAAATTAACTGAGCCCGCGCAACGACGCATCGTTACTCAACGTAGAAAGTGTCTCTCGTAATCGGAAAGAATGTCGATGATATTCGCCGCCGATTTCGGATTATTAATGACGATAGAACCGGCGTGTAGATCCGCCGATTTAAACAGCGACATTTGCGCGAGATGTGCCCACGCCACTTCCACGTTGCATTGCGCGCAAAGGTCGCAATATCGCGCCGAATCGGGACTCATAAATCTCCCTCATTCACTCGGCTCACTCAAATCAAAAGTTTTTGGCTCTTGGCGATCGTTCGCATTGACAAATGGCGAGACGACGGAGAAATCGCCGTCGGGATAATCGCGGTATCGATCACGTTCGCGACGTACCTCTGCCTTACGCGATAAACAACCGCATGGTTGTCGAGCAATTGCTTGCCCTCGGGTCCCGCGTTTTCCTTGTCATCTTCCACGGACTTCAGCACCCTCTTCCGCTGCTTGAAATTGTGCAAATTCTGTGCGCGAGACTCGAGTTCGCCCGATCTCATAATACGCGACTCGGGCAGCGTCAGGTCCACTATCGAGTTTTGCTGCGTCGAATTTTTGTAGTTTGCATCATCTGAACTACGACTTTCCGCTAATAGGGTGTCCGTCTGATTGACGATGGCTTCGGGCAAGATCGTGGAGTTGACTGACTTCCTCGAGAGATTCGGCGACTTCTTCAGGGCATTCTGCAGGATGTATATGTGCTTCGTCTCTTGGTTGACTTTGCTGTTTGCAGACGTGGCTGACGCGAAGTCGTACATGAATATCGCCACCTGCGACAGCGTAAAAGTAAAATGAATTTCAGTTTAATTACTTAACGTAATACGTTTTATATTAGATTGGTGCAAAAGATTTATTATTTTCTTTTTAATTTAATTTGCACAGGAAGTTGGAGTTTTAAAGGAAAATAGAAAGTGATTTTTCAAATCAATTATATAGGAAGTTTGGGTACTGGAAAGAAGTTTTTAGAGAAAAAAAGTGTACGAAGTCAATATTTATTTTATTCATAAAATTCGTTTGTTAACTTTTCGAAATTAGATAATTTCGTTTTCTATTTTATTTGATAAACACAACAAATCTTTTGCATTCTAATAGTATTTAACCCTGGATATTTGAGTGTCGTTTTGTTTTCTAATAGTCCTGCTAAAGAAAAAGAGGATTTTTGTGAAAACGAAGATTTTGGCAAAAAGACATCAAAATATAACGAAAGAGCTTATTTGTATCCAGTATTTATGGCGTATTTCTTTTAATGATAAACATTAAATATTCAAAATATCTTACATTAAATATCTTTAAAAAATACATAAAGAGAATCTTAATAAACGTCATGGAATTGTTTATTTGTCTTATAAAAAGTTTGTTTGCGTATGAAAACTTCTTGCTCCTTGATAACGAAATAAAAGTTGCACTACTTCTTGGCAAAGTAATGGCGATTCTTCACGAAGACTCGGTGCTAGATCTTGGATTCGATAATGGAAAATAAATTGCGAGTTGTTATTGACAATTAATAGAACAAACTTGTTCCCTCTCTATGTTTGTCGAGGCATTTGAGACGACAAAGTCTCAATTAACCCTGTTTCGAGATGGCAACCGCCAGTTAATCCGTACCGAAACACAGTTAACGCCCTATATGTGAAGCAGGCAGAATCTTTGACGCTTGGCTCGCCATGCATGGTAGGGATACTTGAAGATTCGCGGTGAAAATGCGATCCCCGGCGCACACATACGCCCACACGTGCACGTATACGTGGAGGCACACGCGGTGTTTGCGGCTGCCTCCAACATTAATCATCGGAGAAAACGTGCGAGCCGTAATTACGGCCATTGTTCTTCGCGCGTGGAAGAAACTCGCGAAAATCTCGCGCCGCCATTTGATTGTTATGCATATGAAGCGCGTGCGGCAAAATCGTGCGAAGTAGGATGCGAATCACCTGGTGAATCGCTGTACAGACATTTTATCGTGCAAGGTCATTGTCCGTGCGCAACGGAGCACGTAGCGAAATGATCGACACGTCGCTCAGCAAATATAATAAAAACGAATAATGCTGAGCGATCGGTATTGCGTCACTCGCGATGCGTTCTTGTAATACGTTATCTTACATCTTCAGCGCGCCGCGAGTTTAACGACTTCTCGACGAGACGATTATTTATAGTGCGATATCGATAATGTTTCATTGCGCGGAATCACACGTACACACATTGATCCGCCAGACCAGATGCAGTTAAGCAGTACATGCCCCTTCTCGTTTCGTAAAGAACGAGATATCGATCTTTAAGGTGCGCGAAAAGACATTAAACTAGACACGATTAATTCTAACTACTTGGGAGATTATGAGATTTACGATGTTACGCATAATTTCTGGATTATTAATTACTGCATAAATCATTCTCGAGTTCAAGCAATTCCCGCGGTGGATTTTCGAGGGAATCTCCGTTAAATAAGTTGAGGAATGAGGATAGAAATCATAAGCGTGTAAAGCTACAGGAACATTAAAAGAGAATGATAAACAAAAAGCTAATTGTCTACATTTTTATTGCCCATATCTAAAAAGTAATAAAAAAATTTAGAAAGAATGAGATATTAATTATTGGTTGTAGAGATAGAAGTTAATTATAGAGAAAAATATTATACCTAAAAATAATTCACAAATAATTTGACACGATTTAGAATCTGGATTAAAAGTTATTCTATTTTTAAATGTAAATCTAGCAAACATGATGATAATTACAATATCAAATGATATTTTAATGATGCATTAATGACATCTCCAACGTCAACACGTCATTAATAGATCATCAATGCAAATCAATGTGACTTTTTGCAGAAATTATACATACATTATTCTTAGTATTTTCTTAGTATTCATATCCTTAGTATTTTCTCAAACATTCAATTTGCTGTTACAAATTTGTCGAACAAACGAAATCAATTTTAATTAATATAGATTAATTAATCCATTTGCATCATTAGAAGATTTGACAAGCATACTTATATCATTGAATTGTTTCCTTTTAATTGATACCGAATATAATAAAACGATATATTAAAAACATAGTTTTCGTGATTTAATCCATTTTCAGTAATAAGTTGCGATTAAAATAAATTCTTTTGTGCACACCGATATGATCAGGCGAAATGAACGGATGTATCTTCTGATGCGAATTAAATCGATCTACCTGACTCGACTCGCTCACCTCTCGACTCTTTCAATCACTCACCAGGATCACCGTTACCACCACCATAACGCCGATCGTAAACTTCCGCACGATCAGGCCGTAGCGATTTCTGTTGTATCGATCACTGCGATCCGAATAGAGGCCCAGCTCCGACGTACTAATGGCAGACCTCCTGTTGGTCTCAAGCATCGCTTTCCTCGAGGTCTGGTGGCTGGCGTCCTTTACGATTACACATTGGCGATACTGGATACTCTTACTCAAAGTAGCTTACCGTTGACATGCTCGCCGACTTGTTTCACTATGCCATTGCAGAATCGCCCGAATACGAATTGCGAATGATCGATGAGGATCCCTCTCTGTCGAATGCCGCAGGAAGCGAAAGGGTTTGTACCCGGCCTGTCTCCCTTTTTCTCGATGTAGAGCACGCGACGTTGCTCTTCCGACGCTTCCCACGCGACTAACGATCGCGCATTTCTCGGCTCGCCATTTTCACCACGGCTGGAAGATTCTATCAAGAGCGCGAGGAGATTTCCTTTGTTCGTGGGGGAGGCTCATTACGGCGGCGTGGCGGGCAAACAGTTATGGGCTACTTATTTCGACGGCAAAGCCGACCGCCACCGCCAGCTCGCGCACAATGCACACGCGAGGAAAATCTCCTCAGCCTCGCTACGCTACCGTTTCGGTGGCTGACTCGCTAAATACACACGCTGACGCTCCATTTTCGTCGAATCGCGTAAAAGCGAGCTCCTCGCTTGCGACGAGCGCCTGGTCGCGAATCTCTGCACACTTCCATGCGGAGCGATGGAAAGCAGTCGGATGTCTGAAAGCAGATGCTCGAGGTAATAACACTGAGTTCTGCGGAGCTGATTATAGAAATCAACTATGATACAACGCGAATTATGAGAGACAAGTGGTATTGTCTCCCGTAGGTTTCTCTCGACGTACTGATGCTGAATTATATTATTTCTCTTGGAAGAATATAAAAGTCGATGTGATCACGCGATTACAATTGAGACCATAAAGAAATTTTAAGGCTCCTGGTCGCGAAAATCTTAATTGGTGACGTCAGAAACGAGAGAACGCATGTCCAAAATTCTGGCGTGCCATTTTCAAATAAAAATATATTGCTTGAGCATATTTGCAAAATGCCTTGAAAACTATCCTTTTCTCTTGACAGTTAATAAATAACCGTAAAATTAACGTGACACGCAACCTTTCTCTTTAACTAGCTTCTTCTCATGATTTTATCGCATCAATTTTATGACTATTTATTAATTGTCAAACAAGTGTTAATTTTCGGGGCAACTTAAGTATATTCAAGTGATTTGAAGTTTTTTTTATTCAATTTTTTTTTTTTATTTGGAAGTCGCGTAAGAATTTTCAGCATGTTATTTCTCATTTCTGGTCCAACATAGCGGCAGCCATATAACCAGGAATCTTAATTAACACCTTGACTGCTATGGTGGGCACTAATGACCGATGCTATAATATTGCCACGTTTCATTAATTTCCGTACAAAACGTAACCAACTGCATATAAATAATTATCTCATATATAGTATTCTAATAAAAAATATTTACTATAATTACAACTTTTCTCATGCATGTTTTATCACAAATTTTATTTGTATATTCTAATTCGCGGCTGTATCAGGTACACTGAAAAGTTTTCTTACAGTTAATAAAGATTACTATTGTTAAATTAGATATATGAGGAACTGATGAAGAATTAACGCACATATGCACCGTGAATTACATTTATTTATCACTTATTAGTGATTCAAAGTTGAATTGAACATTGAAATAATCAGTAAAAATCAATGTAGTGATAAATGTATTAATATATGAAGAAAATATGATTCCATGTAATTCAGTCAAGAAAATACGCACACAGATATTATTTTTCTAAAAACTTTTATTCTTTTTGACATTCGTTATATACGTGTAAAGGAACGCTCGCGTCGTTGTAAGTTTTCGTGACGTATGATGAAAATCGGTCGATACATACAAAAAAGGCGATACTCTAAGCGTCCGACGAGCGCTCGCCGTCAATCCTTAAATAATAATCCTCACTAATATTACATATTACATATACTAATATTTCAGCGATGTCGTTGGTCGGTAAGACGGGTCATATTTGTCACCGAATACTCATCGCTTTCCTTCCTCGAAGGGAATGTCGGGGATCGGGTAGTAGTAACCTAAGGTGGTCCTCGGTGTCGTAGGTGGCAAGGTCGGGGGCGGTGCTGGACTTCCTGTCGGTGGCGGTAGGGTGGGAGTGCTGGGAGTGATGGTGTAAATGGGCGAAGGTGGCGGTGGTGCCGTCACCGTAGGGTAAATCGGTCTCGGAGTTGACGGTGGAAGATAAGGAGAAGGTCGGGTTTTCGGTTCTGTCGGAGGAGGGGTGGTAGTCTTTGGCGGTAGATACGTGGGCGGGGTGGAGAAAGGTGGTACATAAGAGGAAGCTTGCGTGGACGACCTGGTGGTTGAGGGTGTCGTGTATCTGGTTGTTGAGGGTGTCGTGTACCTGGTGGTTGAAGGTGTCGTGTATCTGGTTGTTGTTGGTGTCGTGTACCTGGTGGTTGGTGTCGTGTACCTGGTGGTTGGTGTCGTGTACCTGGTGGTTGGTGTCGTGTACCTGGTGGTTGGTGTACGAGGTGGGAGATATGTCGCTGGCTGGGTCGTTCGCTGCGTATATCTCGTGGTACGTTCAGTTACGGGAGGAGTATATATAGTGGTGTATCGCGAGGTTGTTACCGGTGGTATATATCTTGTGGTAGGTCGTGTGGTTGTCACCGGAGGTATATATCTCGTGGTAGGTCGTGTGGTTGTCACCGGGGGTATATATCTCGTGGTGGCTCGAGTAGTGTGCGGCGGAAGGTAGCTAGGTGGCTGCGTGGACGGTGTGTACCTGGTGGTGCGAACCGTTACAGGCGGTATGTATCTCGTAGTCGGTCGTGTAGTTGTTGTAGGCGGTATGGGTCGTGGAGTTGTCACAGGAGGTATATATCTCGTGGTGAGTCGCGTTGTGCCGGGTGATCGTGTACTATAATCCGGCGGTAGATAAGTTGGCGGAGATGTTCGCGGAGGTACATAAGGAGGTCGAGTTGGAGGTTGAGGAGGTGGAGGTACATAGGGAGGTCGAGTTGGGGGTTGAGGAGGCGGAGGTACATAGGGAGGTCGAGTTGGAGGTTGAGGAGGTGGAGGTACATAGGGAGGTCGAGTTGGAGGTTGAGGAGGCGGAGATACATAGGTTGGTCGAGTTGGAGGTTGAGGAGGTGGAGGCACATAGGGAGGTCGAGTTGGGGGTTGAGGAGGCGGAGGTACATAGGGAGGTCGAGTTGGAGGTTGAGGAGGTGGAGGTACATAGGGAGGTCGAGTTGGAGGTTGAGGAGGCGGAGGTACGTAAGGCGGCCTTGTAGGGGGTTGAGGAGGTGGAGGTACATAGGGAGGTCGAGTTGGGGGTTGAGGAGGCGGAGGTACATAGGGAGGTCGAGTTGGAGGTTGAGGAGGTGGAGGTACATAGGGAGGTCGAGTTGGGGGTTGAGGAGGCGGAGGTACGTAAGGCGGTTTTGTAGGAGGTAGAGGGGGTGGAGGTACATAGGGAGGTCGTGTTGGAGGCTGAGGTGGAGGTGGCAGTGGAGTTCTAGGAGGCTGGGGTGGTGGAGGAATATATGGTGGTGCTGTTTTAGGTGGTTGTGTTGGAGGTGGCGTTGGCGGCGGTGTTCTTATAATAGGTGGGAACGTAAAAGTTGTTTTCGGTGTTTCATAGACATATCCTCCTGTACTCGGAGTCGGCGTTCTTGGTGGTTGCGTTGGCGTTGGCACTCTCGTTGGCAGTGTAAACGAATCGTCTGGGGTTAAGTAAGTGTATCTGTCATCTTTTGGCGTAGTTCGTGGTGGTGGAGTAATCCTTGGTGATGTAATCCTCGGTGGCAATGTAAATGTAGTTTTTGGGGGTGTATAATAATATCCATCTGTTACAGGAGGTGGTGTTCGAAGTGGTTGCGTCGGAGTTGGTTTGCTTGGTGTCGGGAACGGAATTTTAGGGGTTGTATAAGTATATCCATCCGTCACAGGGGGTGGTGTCCTCCTAGGTGTCGGCGTTGTCCTCCTAGGTGTCGGCGTTGTCCTCCTAGGTGTCGACGTTGTCCTTCTTGATGTCGGCGTTGTCCTCCTAGGTGTCGGCGTTGTCCTTGGTGGCAGTGTAAATGTAGTTTTTGGGGATGTATAAGAATATCCATCTGTTACGGGAGGTGGTGTTCGAGGTGGTTGCGTCGGAGTTGGTTTGCTTGGTGTCGGGAACGGAATTTTAGGGGTTGTATAACTATATCCATCCGTCACAGGGGGTGGTGTCCTCCTAGGTGTCGGCGTTGTCAACGGAATCTTTGGAATAGTGTAAGTATATCCAGTGGTCACCGTGGGTGGCCTGACTGTCACTATACTCGTCCGTGACCCCCTGTGAATATAATTATGTCTCACGAACACGCTTGAATTTATACAGGATTATATTAATCGATTCGTTGTGAATGAAATGTTTTCGTAAATGATAAAAAATTTTTTGAGCAATTTTAATCAGTATGTGCTGGAATTTTAAATGTTTCTAAAATGTTTCTAATACGCTTAATTTTACTTACGAGCCCGGTGGAGTAAAAGTGGGTAGAGTAAAAGGTTTCGACGGTGGCTCATAGACATAACCCTGGAATTGAGGGCTGTTCTCTATGGCACGTTTACTTCTGTCACGACTCGCGTTCGCATGACACGTGGAGAGCACGGCCACCAGAAAGGCCGCCCACAGCAGCTTCCACTGTAACAACACGATAACTTTCAGTTTAATTTATTAATTCCAAATAATATCAATTTGTTAGAGACTTTACAATTAGACTCAATATATTTTCGTACGTTTTTATTGCGCCGTGCATATATTGCGTTAAATAAAATAATAGTATTAGAGTTTAATAAATTTTGCTGTAAATATTTTCTACACGATTTTAATCATTCAACGAAAATGATAATTATCGCATCTATATGTGTATTCCATGTCGCTGTGTACTCGTTCATCTTCGCCTCGAGACGTTAATATTCGGGCACGGAGGAAACACGCGACGTGTAAGAGTACCAAAATAATAAAAAAAACGGCAACGTCACCACCTGATGAGCGCCAGCCGCGATATCACATCAACAGTTACTTTCAAAACATTCAGGACCTTCAAGGCGGTTAAACTTATTTCCGCGTGTCACAGAATTTTCCGAGTGTTTCCATTGTGTTCCGGACCGGCAAGCGACGCGCACATCGCGGAGCACGTGTACCGACACGTTAGTTATTATTTCCGCGGACGAGTAAATTTTTAATAGACTCTTGAAATATGTGCAATCGTGTGTTCGCCGATATCGCGTTATTTAGTACACGTGTTTCAATCGTATGTACTACGCGATTGTTAGAGTCAGTGCAAGTGTGAATGCCAGTGCGAGTGTCATGGAACTATCAGGAAGCCAGGATATTGGATCGAGAAGCGGCAATGGAGGATGCGGGATACAGACAGCGATACGTCATACATTTCCAGGTATGTCAAATTATTTATTATCCCCGAGTCGAAAAGTAGGCTGGGATTCCGTTATTATTTGGAAAATATTCATAGCTTGACAAATTTTTTATTACTTATTAAACAATTTATTTTATACAACAAGAAATATTGATTCAAATAACTGAATAATGATCCATATGAATTTAGCAGTATAAATTCATAATTAATTATGCTCTAAGTGAAAGATTATAAATAATTTATAATTGTGAATCTCGACCTAAGAATCTAATGTTTTTTTTTTGCAAATGCTAATTTGTGCTTCTAATAATGCATCTGCTGTCGTTTCGCTTTTATTCAAAGAACAATTTTTATTATACCAATTTCAAGTTCAAATTTCCATTCGCGTATTGCATTATTGGGCACACAATAACTATCTTCGTTTTTTCATTTTCGGCTGTTTTAAGAACTCTGCAAGAGAAGTACTATGAAAAAAGAAAGTGTGATTTTTATTTAATTCTTATCCCTATTATTTACTCACATTAATTGTTTAATATTCGATTATCGTACATAAAATTAATACATTGCTTATTGAAAATGAACATGAAGTAGAATAATAAACAGAATTAACATTTGTATTAACAATGCAAGTAGAATATTGTGATATAACCGAACGTTAAATAATTCTTAATTCTTTGTGGATATGTGTTGAGAATTTACACTGCCGAGTGTTTGTTTATATCACGCGTTGAAGCGCAACTTTCTGTCGAATATTGCGTTATGATAGAAATATATATGTAAGAACGTTATCTTTTCGTTGTACATATACACACACACACACACACACACACACACACACACACACACACACACACACACACATATATATATATATATATCAGTTATACATATCAGTTATACACATAACGTATAATATATGCAAAAACATCATCTTTCCCGTTACATATTCACAAAAAGTGAATAAAATTTTTCATCAAGTCTCAACGAAGAGAAGAATGTTGTAAAGCATACATTTACAACACTAAGGTAAGAAAAGTATAAACCTTATATAGTTATAATTTCCGATTCTTCATTGGTCCTTCAAGTTCGACTAAACTTGCAGGGTTAATGCAGAATCGAAATTTCGACTCGGGGAATTTTCCTCTTGTGTTTCTTTCTTTTCGCAATAATTAAATAACCGAGACATTCACGTACGCAATCGTAATAGATCGAAGATCGTCTCCGTGGGATAATCTTACGCCTCACCCACGGTGGTCTTACATAACGCGTCTCGGCCACAAGCCGCTGTATAATGCGGCGATGATCGTGAAAGGTTCGCGAGCGTGGATTATAGTATATCGTCTTTTCATTGATTAACCGACCGTTCTACGACGCGAACACTGCCATTTATTGTAACGGTGTCTTCTTTTTTGTTGGAGGATGAATGAGCGAGCAAAAAGTCTCGCCTAGCAACGTTCGTTTTATTTGAAACAACAAAACATTTTCTAGAACTACACTAAGACTTTACTTCAACTACATTATTTTATTTAAATAGAATAAACAACCAGTTTCATGGAAATCTGAGGTTTTAGTTAGTATATATTTTTTTATTTATCAGATTTTATTTTTTTTATATCGATATATTTTATACTAGTCTAAATATGATATCTTACATTAGTATAATTTAGTATCTTCACCGAATAAAATTTTTTATTTCTTAGATATTTTCTCTCTCAGTGTGTGTGCTGTTGACAATTTTAATATTTTTATTGCTTGATTTATTTCGGCAATATATCTTCATACTCATATCGAAAAAATAGTATGGTTAGTCCACACATAAATCTGGTTATGTCAACCAGATTTGATAGTGAAACACGGGACAACTAATTATGTGGTTACTGCAACCACAAAGCAATCGATGAGTTACTGGCCTTGTAGTTGTGACGATATCTGGTTGCTTCAAAGTGTATCCATGATAAATACCGCTTCAACCGATTTCTATATGGAAAAAACGTTTGATTGGATTAACTAAATAATTGATGAAAGATAAAAGAGCCAGATATTCCGGTTGAAGTCATAAAAATTTTGTTCAAGTTAATAAGATTCTGGTTAACCAAACAAGATTTTTGGTTAATCAGAAATAACCAGAAATAACTGTCTCAAGTTAAATTTTAGTACAAATTTTTTGGTTAACCAGAAATCTTGTTGAACAGAATTCTAATAATTTCAATCGGAATTTTTAGTTTACTCATATTTCACCAGATATTTGGTTAAGCTAACCAAACTTTTTTCCGTATTGTTGTCACAAACAGATAGCGCGCTACGTTGATGTAGTTGATGTAGCGAAGTAACCGAGTCATATTAACTAATTACCGAGTCATATTAACTATATACATTATCATAACACAAAGATAACTGTGTGATTTAACTATACTACTCACAACAAAATATTTTTAGTTATATGTATCATATTTTTTTCCATGCAAATATATTTAACGCTTTTAATATTTAGGTATAGAGTAATTTAGATATACAGTATTTAATACAAAAATAAATATTTCCTTGATCAATTTTTACCGTTTATGTTTAGAGATCGTGCGAGTAATTGAAAGATTGAAGGCCACGTTGTTCGCCGAGAGCGCACGTGTTGTTCTACACCTGCTAGCAGGTGCATCGCGATCATTAACGTGCAGGTACGTTTAGAGGAGTCTGAAAGTCAAGCGAGGCTTCTGGCTGGCGATTTAAAATCGCAGTAACCGTTCGCGACGGCGACATCGTCTTTGCGCGACGAATGATGGTTCGATCTCGAAGGAACGTCCGGTGACCTTTAGCCGTGTAATTTATATGGAAGGATGGCAACGTGCGCGCCATGGGAAAAGATAGCCTCTGCCGGCGTACCTTGTTAGTGTGCGAAAGGTTTCTGCTGTATAAGTGCCGGGGAGTCAACCCGCGAGAGATTCACGATACAGATCGTCGAATGAAAATCGCGCGTCCCAAAATCCACATCTGCGTAAGCATGATCGATTAATTTGAAAATGACTTTCACCTCGGTCCAAAGTTTAATGTCTTCTTTTGAAATATTACATGACATTATCTCGCAAGACTTTAAAATATTACAAAATTTGTACGTGAAAAGTAATTTCGTTGAAAAAACAGCGAACTCTTTGGATTTTTTTTTTAATCGAATAATATAATTGTGCGATACGAAATTAAGGAAGTTGTAAAGCAAAACGAGTTTGTTAAGAATTAATTGAAACTTGAACTACATAATTTGAAATATTAGCTTTGTTTGTGCGATTTTAGAGAAAGATTGTCCCCTCTCGAAAATTGAAATATTTGGAACTAAAACCGGAAGTTAACACTTTCTAATTAAACAAATTAATTTAACAAAACAAAACACTTTTTATATGTGTTCCTTGTGGGAGTAGTGTGCTATTTATTTTTATATTTTTATTTTTTGTTTCTTGTAAACTCTCCCCAAAATTAGGATTTTAATGAAAAACTTCTATAATATTAAAGACTTATTACTCTTTGTTTGAACATCTCGCGTTGATGTTCTTAATTTTATAATTTTGGTTGAAACATCATCAGAGCCCACGCACAATCTTATAGCCGTATTTAGTTATAATAGTTTTATTCGGGCGTCTCAAGGAAGATCTCGGTGGCGTGGAAATACGCGCGGCCGGGCGCGGGCTCGAATTTAACATTGACTTTCACGCATCGATTGCGCAGCGCCTTTCTAATTGCCGTGCAATTACGGAACGTAACGTTAGTTAACGTCGCAACGTTATATGATCGCAATACCGTATATTAGCATATTTACGGCGTAGTCGCGCGTGTCATAAAACTATTGCAAAATTGCACAAGTGTACGAAGTGCATGATGCGCACACGTATCTGCAGATCGCCGGAGGGCACGTAACGACGCGGGGCACAACGCGTGTGACGTCGTGCACAATAAAATGGCGATGGGAACAATAGCTCAAAACGCAAAGACGCGAAAAATCGAATTAGAAAAATGATAATGGACGCACAATGGTCGATTTGAGCTGTCAGAGGCCAATGCGCGGCTGCGATTTGCCGTTTCGCAATTCGCGAGGAAGCTTATTACGCTGCTAAAGCGGGGATTAGCGCTGCGTGAAACATTGTATCGGGCAATTTCTGCACGCTTCGCCTCGATCCATGTATCCGCGGTGTATCATCCGAGTCAATCGATTACGTCCATCAAATCGCCACTATCCGCCTAGGCCAAAGGCCACCTCTGGCCTTTGCGAATACGTCGGTAT